CTCGAAATGGAAGTAAGCTCAACAATTATGAAACAAGAGATTCCTCGAAACCCAACTTTTCTTCGTACACTCTTTTCATGCCCAGAAGGGTGGATGCTGGCGGCCATGGGACAGTGAAGCGGTACCGCTACTTATTTGGGCTCAAAGGCTGAGCAGACCTGACTACGGGCTCTGCTCGTCGGGTCGGCGTTGTGGCTCAAAACGACGTCAAAACGACGTCTGCTCGGCACTTGGGCCAGACTTCATTTCACAATTCACCCTTTACCTGGAAGAATGGTGATGCAGTTGTGGTAGACGATGACCGGCTGCCGCGACATTCTGACGATTGGGGAAGAGCTGCTGTGGCCGGAGGAGAACGAGCTCAAGTCGATGACCTCCTCCGAGTCCGTGGGTATCGGAGAGGAGGAGGGCACTTGACGACACTTGAGCAGGTCGACGCCAGTTAGGCCGTCCGGAAGAGCCGAGCTCCAGCCATGTGGTAGCAAATCACTGGCCATTTTCTCCTCAAACTCTCAAGCCCACGGCCGTTTTGTCGGTCGGCAACTCCGTTAGCCTCGAATCGCGTGTAGATGAAAGGTCGACATGACAACGGGGTTTAGTGGTGGTTGCACATGTTTTCCATACTCCTCCAAACTGGCCACAAGCCATGCGTGTGCTGTGAACTCGGGCCCACCGGCTCGCCGAATAACCGTTTTCCAGTTTGCATCGTTTGCCTTCAGGAAAAGTATTGCCATCCAATGTCACTGTTTGCGCAAAAAGTGTCTGCTTTCACATGAACGTAACCATAGCAATTCGATTTTCAGCACGGCCAGAATGCAAAAAGTCAACACATTGTGATGCACGTCAGAGTCGCCAGTATGGCGACGCCGAAAGGTGAAATCGAAGCTTGCACAAATTGAAGCTTTTTCTCTACTCGAAGCAAAAGTATGAATCCATCGGGTGCACAGAAGAGATTCACATGCAACTCCTACTGCTGTTCATTCTCCACGAAGTTTGTGATGTCTAATGCATTTTTATTCTCTCAACCAGTGTTTCTCTTCAGCTTGCATGTGTCCTTCTGTCACTCCGAAGCTCTCTACACCTATCATTATCAGGTCCCTTATCACATGTTTTGTCATCTTGCGCGTCTGTCTTAGTGTGTAAGAAAACAAACCCACATTAACCCGGCGACCAAACCACTGTCCAGATGACCTTGCCAACTGTACCCAAGACAAGATCTTATTACCAATCGCAGGAAGATGGCAGTTTTGCGCTTCCATGCTGTAGACACGTAGAGATAATGCTCGAGAGCGGGGTCGAAAAGTGCCACAAAAACGCTCACAAATCAAGCATGACCCTGCCAGTACATAGTTGGAGTGATAAGTGCTTGCCTCAACACACACACACACACACACACACACACACAAATGCCAACAGATCAGATAGACGATGGAGACGCTTGTGTCGAGGCTGGAGCTGCTGCAGCATGACACGTGGCCAGGCCGCCAAATGCACGAGGTAGGGCACCAGACAAGAAGCAAGACTGCTGCAGTCCTTCTTGTTCCTGATTGACAGTCCGCTAGGAGGCGACCCAGACTCCT